TGATGGGAGAACAGGTTCAGGACATCTGCAGATAGAGGGTAAATATAACAGATATAACAAGCCTGAGCAAGGGAATACCTTCCAAGGCCATGAGCAAAACCGAGGTCAAAGCCAACAGGAAAAAAGGCTTGGGCCTGTGAGGTGGTCACATGAGAGAAAGTTTATCTGTGCAGTAATCAAGTAAATGTAAATTAATATAACAATGAATGTTGTAGAGTGGCAGTAATTATTTAGAATAACTAAAACCTGTTTTGACAGACGTGTAGGAAAACAGGTTTTAGTCACCCATTGCTAATAGAAGAATAAATGGATATAGTTTTTCAGGAGACAGTCGAAAGTCCTTAAACATGTATATCTGAGCTTACTCTTTGAATCTGCTTTTCGGTCTTTACCCTACTGAAAAGTGACTTAAATTTACAACAGGAAGAACCTAAATGAATTGTGACTGATCCAAACACTGTTACTAATATTCATGTTGAAAATCATTCGGTAGTTGACTGCATAAATCCACAAGTGCCTTTACAGTCTTTCAATGGCTGTTACATCACTTGAGCTCTGCAGAAAGGAATCTTCTTTATGCATGAAGAAAAGTCGATTCAGGCTTTACTGTAGAATAAGGGAGCCTGTACTCTGCATGAGTTCTAATACTGTGATGTAATGCCTCTCTTGAGTGTTGGGAGAGCATTTTCTTTGCTTTATAATATTGCTTTTGGCAAGCCCATTACTTCTGTATAATAGCAGTACTGAGATAATGCTGTTAGTTTCCTGATTTCTTAAATTGAGTATAGAATTTAGAGTCATACATTGAGTTATTCTTTAAGTAAGAATTACATATGGTGTTTTTGCAGCTAGTGAAAAAATTAAAAAATTAATAATATGACATAGCACTTAATCAAACTGGCAAATATTTTTACTTTGTTGAGATAAAATTGAAGTATAATAAACTGCACATATGTGTACGGTTTGATCAGTGTTGACATAGGACTGTTTTTGCTACACTTCTGATACCAAATGTATAGGCATTTTTTCCCTCATACCAACCCATTCTCCAATTTTCCAGGCACCAACAGGGTGTCCTACAGTTCAGTTCTGACATTCCCCGGAATTAGCACAGACTCCGCAGATTAAGGGCTCCGCCACACAAGATGCCCCACTTCGGCCAGTCACAAGTCCCATGTTGCCACCGGTACTCCTGACCAACTGGCTATAAATTCAGGGGGTTCCCACATCTCCCTTCTCAAGTTCGATAATTTGCTAGAACAGCTCACAGAACTTGGGAAGATACTATCACTGGTTTATTATAAAGGAATTTAAAACAAAAAGCCAGATGAAGAGGTACACAGGATGAGGTTCGAAAAGCTCTAGAGCACAGAAGCTTCTGTCCCCATGGAGTTGGGGAGCCCGATCCTCCCGGCATGTGGATGTGTTCAAAACTCAGAAGGTTCCCAGACCTCCTCATTTAGGGGTTTTGTGGTGGTTCCATTATGTAGGCATGACTGATTAAAATGCTGACCACTAATGATTGAACTCAAATCTCCAGCTCCTCTCACCTCCCCAGATGTCAGGTGGTGGGGCTAAAAGTACCTTTTTTTCCTATTTTGGTATTAGATATTATTAAAAAAATCTTTGCCACTTAACGGCACTAACAGAGAACAGTGGCAAGGATTTTTTAATAATAATGTCCAGTACCAAAGTAGGAAAGAGAAACTTGCATATATTAGTACGGAAGCGTGAAATTGGCACTGCTGTTGGAGTTGTACCAACTTGGAGCAGTTTGTTAGTGTCAGAAAAACTAAAATGCGTATTCTTCGAACTAGCAATTCTGCTTCTAAGTGAAGGAAATCAATCTTCATGTGAATAAGGATGTAATTGCAAAAAATATGTTTCACTATATTGTTTTAATTGCATGAAAAGGAGATAAATTAGATGTCCAACAATGCGGAATTGTTTAAGGAAACAATTCATATAATGAAAATTTAAGCCTTAAAATTATTAATGAAAGTATATTGTTTTGTAAACAACAAAAGGATCATGTGGTTTTTTGTTGTTGTTTTTTTCTTTTTGCGGTACACGGGCCTCTCACCGCTGTGGCCTCTCCCGCTGCGGAGCACAGGCTCCGGACGCGCAGGCTCAGCGGCCATGGCCCACGGGCCCAAGCCGCTCCACGGCATGTGGGATCTTCCCGGACCAGGGCACGAACCCACGTCCCCTGCATCGGCAGGCAGACTCCCAACCACTGCACCACCAGGGAAGCCCTCATGTGGTATTTTTATGTTTTAACTTATTTTTTCAAGTTAACAAAAAGGTATATAGGAAACAAGACTAAAAGTATATTTTTAAAGCCAAATGAAAAAGTAGTTTCCTCTGGCTAGTGAGATTCATCTGTATTTTTTCCAATGCATATGTTTTCTTTTTAAATTTTTTTGTTGAAATTTTTCCTGGATATAAAGCTAACAAACACAAAGGCATAAAGTAAATCCATAAAATGGGATTGGTATGTTATTTTAAGCTATATAAATCACTTATTTTTTTGGCTGCGCCGTGCGCCGTGCGGGATCTTAGTTCCCGGACCAGGGTTTGAAGCCAAGCCCCTGCGGTGGAAGCACCGAGCCCTAAGCAACTGGACTGCCGGGGAAGTCCCATTTATTTTTAAAAGCAACTCCTTTATGTTTAATGCCGTCAGGATGAAGTCTCCTGGAGCTTCGCCCCTTCCTGCCGCCTCCTTCCCCCGTTGCAGTTCGCACCTCCCCCTTCTTTTTTTAAAAATTTATTTATTTATTTATTTATCTTTGGCTGTGTTGGGTCCTCATTTCTGCGTGAGGGCTTTCTCCAGTTGTGGCAAGCGGGGGCCACTCTTCATCGCGGTGCGCGGGCCTCTCACTGTCGTGGCCTCTCTTCTTGTGGAGCACAGGCTCCAGACGCGCAGGCTCAGTAGTTGTGGCTCACGGGCCTAGTTGCTCCCCGGCACGTGGGATCTTCCCAGACCAGGGCTCGAACCCGTGTCCCCTGCATTGGAAGGCAGACTCTCAACCACTGCGCCACCAGGGAAGCCCCCGCACCTCCCCCTTCTTGCTTTCCTGGGCTTACTCTGCTAGTGCCCGCGTTTGCTCATGCTGCCATCTGCCTTCAGCCCTCTTCCTCCCTGGCCCAGTTCTCCTCATCCATTGAAATGTGCCGTCAGTACCACCTCCAGGAAGCCTTTGCTGAGCTCCTACCGCTCCCTAACCCACCTCTCCAGAGGCACTTACCACCCTATGTTATTTATCCCTTTCATTTTCCTCTCCAGAGAGACTGAGGGTGACTTGAGGTCAGGACAGTATTCGTTAGCACAGTGCCTGGAACCTAGTAGTCGGAGCTTAACTGGTGTGTGTGTGTGTGTGTGTGTGTGTGTGTGTGTGTGTGTGTACAGTAGAAATAAAGATATGATGGGATCAAACAAGCCAGAGTATTGGAAGAAGTGTGAATATATTTGCATGATGGGAGCATGGGTTCCGCATGAGTATTTTAGTAGGATGGAGAGGTGAGGAGGGGCCAGGTCACTGAGGGCTTCATATGTCATCCTAAGAAGTTTAGATTTTATCATGTAAGTGAGGGAGCCAGTGAAGACTTTAAAGTAAGAGGGTGGCTGGTCTTAGCATTTCCCCGAGTGTTAGATATTATTAATATTATGTGAAAAGCCTGGATATAAAATAAATTTGGGAAATCCTGGGTTAAACCAAGTTGAATAGATTTCTGTTCTTCTGGACTTCTCAGTCTTTACTGTGCTCATGTGCATTTTTAATCCTCCAAAAGGATGTTTGTGTGTGATATAATTTTCATTATTTCCCCAATTTATTTATCATGGAACCCTTATATTGGGGGACTATGTTATAGAACACATTTTGGGAAATGGACACTGGGGAGACTAGCAGCGGTGAAACTTTTAGTGGTTGTTAAAGTAACGCTGGCCAGAAACACTGAGGGCTTGTATCAGGAGTTTAGTGGTCGGAAACGGGGAGGCAGGACCAAGGGAATTAAGTTGTGTCTCTCAGAGCACATCCTCCAAAAGTGGTGATTTAAGTAATTTTAAAAGGTAATATGATTTGAGAGTCGTTAAAATCTGATCCAAAGATATTAGAACAAGCAGTGTGAAATGTGGTTTGAAACCTCTCTGAGACAGATGGTAGTCAAAGGAAAGTGCTGTTTTTATATGTTTACAACCCTGCCAACTGCTGACACAGCCCCAGGCTCACTCCTCTTGATATTAGAACCTGTGTGTGGCCTGGCTTGAACTAATGCACTTGGTGATGACGGGGCAGATTCTAGACTGCACACGGCAGTTACTTGTTTGTGGGTGACTCAAAGATGGTTGCCAGGAGTCTAGGTTGGGCAGCTGAGCAGGTGGATGGTGGTATCATGATGAGGTAAGCCAGATAGGAGACAGTTTGGGGGAGAAGATGCTCTGTCGCTTTTTGACATGTTCATGAGGTAGAGTTGACGGTGGGACATAGGAGAACACCAGTAGGCCGTCAGATATAGGAGTTTGTTCCTCAGATGGTTTGGACTGACCCAGTCTTCATTTTTACCCACTGTGTCTCAATTGCTGCATATGTTAGGGATTTTGCAGCAAAATCCATGTTAGGGATCTCTTTTATGAGATCATAAAATATTAAGTTGCAGGGTGAAGACCCTGCACATTCCTAATCTTATCCCATGTTGCACTTCCACACATCAGTTACCTGTGTTCCTCCACAGCTTCCCTACCACATACACTTTCCCCTGAAGTCACTTCGGTGGCTTGTTTATACTAATGATTTTAGGAATATTGAAACATGCGTTATTCACCTCCGAATAGGAGACTGCCGTTGCCTCTGCAAGCGTGGGGAAGGTGCTTGCTTACAGCGTTTCTCACTGCTTAGTCACTGTGTCAAGTGAAATCCTTGAGTTAATAATGTTATATAACATGTTTCTGTTTCACTTATTTTACGTGTAATAACAGTGTTCCTTTATTTTACTTGTAGCTCCAAAAGGAATTCTTCATTTGTCTCCTGATGTTTATCAAGAGATGGAAGCCAGCCGCCACAAAGTCATCTCTGGCACAGCTCTAGGCTATTTGTCACCCAAAGATATGAACCAACCCTCAAGCTCTTTCTTCAGTATATCTCCCACCTCGAGTAGTTCAGCTACAATTGCCAGGGAACTCCTTATGAATGGAACATCTCCTACAGCTGAAGCCATAGGTTTAAAAGGAAGTTCTCCTCCTCCCCCTTGTTCTCCAGTACAACCTTCAAAACAGCTGGAATATTTAGCAAGGATTCAAGGCTTTCAGGTATGAATTAAAAGCAAAAACAAGAAAACAAAACAATCCATTAGCCCCAAATCCTTCATCTCTGTCCATCAGAAAGCTCATTCTTGCCTGCTAGCGTGACTTCTATGCCACTTACATTGTAAATTATTAGGAACACAGAGGACAGAAAAACGAGTCATGCGCACATGCCTCATTTTAAAGATCTTTCATTCTCTCCAGTAATTCTTTTGCCGCCTGGCTCTCCTCCATATTCCTTCTTCTTCTGTTTTTGTTTTTGATTTGTTTTTTTTTAAACATTTTTCATTCTCTGTTCTGTGTCCTGCTTGGGTGCATCTATTCCCTCACTCTCCTCCCCAAACAAAAGTGCTGCCTTCATACATTTGGTATTAGTATTTAGCACTAAGGCCTCCCTCATTTTACAGTAGGGTTTTTTCTAATGATGATTTTACTTTCATAGCAGTTTTGAATTTGGCATTCTATGGCTAGTAATGATTCAGGTATACCACTAAGGTACAACATCCTAGAAGTCTATTATCTTAGGAGTTAGTTAAACATGGTATTAGAACAGTAATGCTTTCTAGTTGTCTGAGGCATAAAAACATGTATCGTTTTACTGGATCGTGTTTTGAACCATCTAGGGTAGCGCCTACCTTAGACGGTACCAACAAGTCTGTTTCACCGGGCAGTCTAAATCTAGCTTAGAGTCCGCTTGTTGTGTATATGAATTTGGGGCTGGAAACCTTCCCCCTCCCTCCCGTTTAGTCAGTGTTCCCTTTTGGAAAAAAACCCAACAATCCTTTATGAGTAGAACTTTTTAAAGAATTGATAACTCTAGGAAGAGGAAATACCTGTGTTCTGACTTCTTAGTTGCCTTGAAAATCCTGTACTGAGCTGTAATCACTCACTTGACTGGGCGAACAGCAGTGTGCTTGTGTGTAGAAAGAGTGGACTGCTCCCTCAGATTTCATTATATTCACCCCCCTTTCCATCTTAGTCTTACTCCTTAAGACCAAAAACTGTAATTTCCTTTAGAAATCTTCTAGAAGATCTGTATTGTGTAGAATGATCATGTATTTATAAAAATTTTACAAATTTAGATACAAGAGAGAAGATCATGTGTTTTACCAAGGGGGTATTTTGCATGTTTTTTTTGTTTCTCATCACAGAAACCTGATTCTTTCACATCTATTGCCAGGTAGTCGTTGAGTGTTTTTACTTAGACTATTAATATGAAATCTAAAAAGCTGTTACCAGTTTGGGGCTCTGTCATCTGAAATTTTAAACACTTAACTTAAAAATTAAAATTTAGAACTTGTTTTCGTTGTTTACCTTAAGAATAACAATACATCACTGTTTAAAATAAAAGGACCTTGATTCACACAGTTAAAGTACTGGAAAAGAAAAACTAAGCAATTTTTAGTTCTATCTATAATTTGCATAAGGTGAACTAGAAATAAACTGTGATGAAAAGGAATTCACTGTTTATTTACAAGTCTAGTCATTTAGAAATGTCTGAAAGTAACACTGCATTTGCATTTTTATAGAAACAAAGCACAAATTGCACTCAAGCTCTGAATTGATTTTTTGGCTGGAGATGTTCCTCTGATGTAATTTTGCTGCCAGAAGAACTACTTAAATTTGTATTTATTTGTTAATTCTTAGCAATGACAACAACTATAATTTTAAAATACCTTTACTTTAGTCAAAATGTAGAATCTGTTTCTCCTATATTTGGGCTGAGTACTCAGACCTTTTTTTTTTTTAAAGCTTATGCTGAGATAATACACTCTTACTTATGGACACGTTAAACATTTCCAAATTTGTGTATGGTGATTTTTACATACTAATGAAGATAAACATGGTTTTAAAACGTTACTGTGCTGCTTTGGTCAAATGAGCTCGGTGTTGCTATGAAATATTGTTTTGCTGACGGGCTGCAGCCTGCAGTGTGTGGTGAACAGACTGTGGGAAATGGCTTCCCTTCCCTGTCAGGTGCCCAGCGCGTCCTCATAATGTCACGGTAGAAGAGTCTTTGTGGTTAAGAGTTTTAAAGCCTCTTTCTTTATAGGTAACTTTCTCAGGTACATTTACCTGGTAGAAAAACATGTAGATTGTTTCTATTTCTTAAATGTTTTAATTGGACTGTAGTTTAGAAATTATAGGGCCAGCTTGTTATGGATGACATGCTGTTATGTTATTTTCATTTCTGGAATTTAAAAACAATAAATTCTTTTTCTCTGTTTCTAGGTTAGTACTTTTAAAATTTTGTTACTGTACACTGAATAGATATTATTGCTTATTGAATATTGTATATAAACCCTTCTCTGGCCCTCTGTGCTCACTGACATTTGATTTAAGCCTACCAGAGCCATTGTATGTGACAGCTATATTGTATTACAAAGTAAAAAAATATATTAGTGTACTGAAAACGACGTTGTTTTAACTTTTAAATTTTTTTTCCTTAATTGAAATTTATAAGTTACAAAAAGCTTATTTGCTCACCAGAATGTAGGTATTAAACTCACATCCTTTTGCTTAAATCTACAGAATAATTTATTATACAATTAAAGTTATTATGAATAAAGCTGACTTCCTAGGTCAGAATATGACTGAACACTTGCACATTCTCAGTAATTCTTTATCCTTTCTTGGGCTCACCTAAAGTTTTTAATCACATTTTAGATGCAAGCCTTTGGATCTCTATCACAAGTGAATATTTATTTTTTGAATTTTTATTGAGTACATTTTTATTATCTCCTTTTAAAACCTGAATGTTCTTATTGATTTATTATTTTTTAGCAGAAGAAAGTTTTATATCAGTAGTTCTGTGAACCTCAGACTTTGTTCAGCCCAGTTCGTATGCTTCTATAACTTCTTTGCATTTCATAAAAATTCATTTGAAATGTAGTTATACCGTAGTGTTCAGGGCTCCTTGGTGCGTACCTTGATACCCTTTAATTACAGTGCCAAAATATTTCAAAATCATTCAGCTTTTTAAAGAAGATTGTTACGGAGACATTTTTGAAATGTTCTGCTTTTGAGCTGAAGCAGAAGACTGTTTTTTTGTGTTATAATTTACATTATTCTAAGTTTTTCCATCTTTAATATGCTTTTCCATATATTAAAAATCTCTCTGAATAATTAACTATAAGCCGTTTCATTGTTTAAATGAGTCATTAGAACGTGATTAGATTGGAAATTAAAACGAATTATTTTAGTCAATTATCCTTGATAGATGGATTTAATTTTAATCTTTTAGTCTGTACCCTTCCTTGTGACTGTCACCCACTGAACAGTGTTGTTTTTAAAACCTTGGGAGTAAAATTTGATAAACTAGATTTGTTTTTCTCACATAAAGAATGTAAAGAAGCACTTAGTTGGTGTCTTAGTTAAACCATAATTAGTTTATTTTATAAAAATCAAGCAGTGTTTTGTAGGGGGCTGTTCATTATTGTGAGTTTATGATGCTGGTGCCATTTTTAGCGAGATGAGAATGTCAGTAGAAGGCTTAGCAATACCTATTTAATTAAAAACTTTCTTTTCAAATACAATTCAAACATAATACATTTCAACTATAATAATATATCTCCTTTTTTGAAGTTTAGTGTGATTATAGCAGACTTCTTTTATGGTGATGAGCTTCTTTTAAATATTTATTTTTGACATGTATGACACATAGCATATTTTAACAATACGACCTTAGTACAGATTACACTGAGCTGGGGCATGGGGAGTGGGGCTTGGCCAATTTGAGAATCAACCTTTTCCCTTTCTCTTTTTTCTTATTTTCCCTATACCTCACTTTTTGTAATCCATATATTTATAATCAAAGTAGCTGTTTGCAGCTTGTTTTTTTAAAGAGTAAGGGATCCGTTTTTTTTTAAAGAGCCGTTTCAGTAAACTTTTATAGATTCCTAATAGGAAAATATGGAGAAAGAAATCATGCATATACATATACTCTTCCACTTAGAAATATGTTTTTCCCCCGTTTCTAACTTGTCCTTGAAATATAACTCACCGTGTCACTTCTGAGCCCAAATTTTCATCTACACTGTTACACAAATGTATAAAGTGATGAGAAATTACTCAGAGTACGAGGAGCAAAACATACATGGGTTTAACACGGGGTCAAGAGATTCTGCTCTGATTCATAGTCACTTCTTAAAAAGCCCTCTTGGATTTAGCCTCTGCTGCTTTTCAAAGACCTTGGAGAAATTGGAAGAATTCTCCTGAAGGCTTGGTTTTCCTGTAGGGACCCTAAAACTCGGGTTTGTTCTTCAAATGGGCAGCCTGCATTCATGCAAACTGACTTATTGTCTGGTTTCTTTAGGCCTTGATATACTTGGCCAAGCCCTTAAGGGTATGCAGACTACATATCACATAGCCATACTTCATAAAAACCAGTAGAATTACAGGTCACCTTACTTTGCTGAAATTTCCAACTCTTTAGAGAAAAATATTACATTTGAAGAAAGAAATCCTGATCCATATAAAAACATACTGTGATGAGTAACAGTAACACAAATAAGAATCAATCAGGCTTCAAGTAAACAGTCTACTATTACTGCATAAACTCTTCAGGACTAACTGACGCCACCCTAAATCACTGCAGAATGTAATCAGAAAGACAAAGGTACTCATTTTGAGCCTTGATATGCCAGCACATACATAGTAAGACACATATTTCAAAGAAAGAGTAATATACAAACACAAAAGAGCTGTCCTGGCACAGTGACTTTGAAATGAGCCACTGAGGTGCAGAAAAAGAAAGTTGCCATTATGTGTCATCCCCAAGTAGAAATAGCTGTAGCCTTTTCTGTTTGTACCGGAAGAGATTTCAAGTCAGCATGAGAATTCTATTTGGAATTATTTGAAAACCAATAATCAATTATTTCTTCAATCAATTTGAAGAAAAGGAAATTATTTTTCATCTAAAGGTGAATTTCATTTCCTTTTGCTAGAAAATGTTGGCAATGATGTGATTTTTACTTAGTAACGTAAGATTAATTGTAGTACCCATCAGGTACATGTCAGTGCATGTCAGGCTGGTATCTGTATGCCTATGTTCATTCTAAGTCATGTTGAAATTATCTATTTCCCTCTCTCCAGCATTCAGCTATGGCTGAGCTTTTTTTTTCGTGAATGACAGCATCTAAAATTTCAGATATATTGTTCTCTTCTCACCCAGGACAACTCTTGAGAAAGAGAACAGTATGTGGAATACTGAGTGTAAAAGATTTCTGCACACGGAAAAAAACTGCTCTGACATACCAGGGGCATTAGGAGATATATGAGTAAACAGGGAAACGAAACTAACGTTTGTTGACTGTCTCGTTATGTATCAGATAGTGAAGGAGGCATTACCTACATTATTTTATGACACAGCAGAAGTGCCTGGTACGTTTTTGCTTCTTGCTTACAAATCTTCATTTGATTTTAAATCCAGCTATTGTATAGTGTTTGAAGCCTGATCCCTGAAGGTAGGACTAGTGTTCATGGTAGTCCGTGGTCTTCTGGATATCGTTTTGGTTTAGTCATAGATTTCATTAATAAATTTATTTATGCCCTCCACTAGGTACACAACTGAGTCTGAGTTATTTAAGAATTCTCTTTTGAGCTGGAAGGAACTTTAGTTTTTATTCAAAGGTATAACTTTATGATGTAAATACACATTTGAGGGACTACAGAAGTAAAGCATCCTATTAGTAATGCAGTTTACTCATTTCCACATAGAGAATTATTAGTTAATTTTAAACCCTTATAGATTTTAGGTTCAGGAAAGCTCTGGCGTCTTGACACGGTCACATCAAAAAGCAGATACAACTGTGAGAGATAAGAGATATTTGAAAAACTTTTAAAATGTTTTTTATCTGTAGTATTGTCATTTTTTTTAAGTATAAGAAAAGTTCAGAATCATTTTATCTGTAGTGGAACATTTGAGAAAACAAGGAGTACAGCTGGAAAAGGATACACAGTTCACAGCTTCAGAAACTCTTATTAAGAGAAAAATAGTGCATTAAGAATAGTTTTCAGTCATTTCAGTATGTATGTGAAGAACTGGATGGATGTGAAGTTAATCTGGGTATACAATATCATCTCATGGAATACTGGAATTGATTTAGCTGAACAACAGGAACTGGAGCGTTTGTTTATTCACTCTGGGCCGATACTTAATACATACCTACACGTGCCAGGTAGCATACCAGACAGTGGGTACAGGAAGAGTTATGGTCAAGTTGGAGACAGACAGACAGGAAAATAAAACCAATATACAGAAGAGTGGCCGCTATTACAATTGAGTCTGGTCTCCAGGGATCAGTGTTTGAACATTACACAAAAATTTAATTTTTAAAAAATTAAATATTTGTAGCATGCTGCAGGAAATAACGTAGGTAATGCCTGCCCCGCATAGTAAGTGTCATCACTTGAGGTATGATTAGCCATGTCAAGAATCATGGATGGGAATGAAGAGCTCTGACTGAAGGGATTAAGAAGAATTCATAGCTGAGGGACATTTGAATGAACTTTAAGAAGTACATAGACTTTTAAGGTGAATAAGAAGAAAAGAAATTGCAGGCAGAAACAGCTGACTCCTAAAGACAAAAGGGCATGATGTTTTAGAAAATGCTTAAGAGTTCAAAGTGGAAGTGGTTGGCAAGTAGGCTGAAAAGACGTGTGCTGCTGAGAATTTGAATTTAGCTGTTAGCCAGAGACCACCAACTTCTTTTTTAAAGGGTAGTGACATTGGTTTTGTATTTTAGAAAGATAATTCTGTAAGCATGTGGAGGAGGAACTAGACAAAAAGATTGGTAGCAGAAAGACCAATTAGAGTGACTTTGCATGAATCCAGTAGAGAAATAGCAAAGATTGAATGAAGCAAAGCTAATGGTCGTAGAGGAGTGGGGCTGAGGTGCAGGCATCCACGGTACAGTTGAGAGAATTCAATGATCTCGGCTGCTAACTTCTGTGAGGATGCTTTCACTGTCCTGGTCAGGATAGAAGCTACATTTAGATGGCATTGTAGAGTAATTAGAGACTCTTTGAGGATGAATTGACCATTCATTTCAAGAATTTGAGAATGAAGTAAAGTAGGAAGGTAATACGAATGTTTTAGGAAAGGTTTTATTTTTAGTATGAACGTGATGAATAAACTTAGAGGAGGTTAATGAGTTCCATTTTAAACATGGCGAATTTGAGTTTCCTGTGGGACTTTCAAAGGCAGTTGTCCAGTAGGCATTCATCAGTGGGTCTGGTGATCAGCAAGAGAGCATAGGACGCAGAGATTGGGGAGTGATCGATGTACAAATGTAATTGAAGCCATAAAAGTAGTAAAGGGCTTCCCTGGTGGCGCAGTGGTTGAGAGTCCGCCTGCTGTGCAGGGGACACGGGTTCGTGCCCCGGTCCGGGAAGATCCCACGTGCCGCGGAGC